AAAAAAAAAAAAAAAGGAGGGGGGGATACTTCCAAAGTGTTTTCCCAAGAGGCCATTTTCCATTCCCACTAGCAATGTGTAAGAGTCCCAGTTGCTCTGCATCCCTGCCAGCATGTGGTATTGTTAGTGTTTCCTTTTAGTCATTCTTATGATGTGTAGTGGCATCTCTTTGTGGTTTTAACTTGCATTTCCTAGTGACTAATGTTGAGCACCTTTTCATAGACTTGTTTGCCATCTACATATCTGCTTTGAAGAAGCGTCTGTTTTAAGTCTTTTGCCCATTTTTTTATTGGGTTGTTTTCTTATTTGGGAGTTTGAAGTTTCTTTATTTTATTTTATTTTATTCGAGATAGCATCTCACTCTATTGCCCAGGCTGGAGAGCACTGACACCATCACTACTCGCTGCAGCCTCGAACCTCCCCGAGAGACCTTCCCACTTCAGCCTCTTGAGTAGCTAGGACCATAGGTGTGCGCCACTATGCTCCACTAATTTTTGAATGTTGTGGGCAGGCACAGTGGCTCACACCTGCAGTCCCAGCACTTTGAGAGGCTGAGGTGGGCAGATCACTTGAGGTCAGAAGTTCGAGACCAGCCTGGACAACATGGCAGAACCCCATCTCTACTAAAAATACAAAAATTAGCCAGGTGTGGTGGCATACGCCTGTAATCCCAGCTACTGAGGTGACTGAGGCAGGAGAATCTCTTGAACCTGGGGGGAGAAGTTTGCAGTAAGCCAAGATCATGCCACTGTACTCCAGCTGGGCGACAGAGTGAGACTCTGTCTCAAAAAAAAAAAAAAAAAATTTATGTAGAGCTACGGTCTCCCTATGTTGCCCATACTGGTCTCGAGCTCCTGGGTGCAAGCAGTCCTCCTGCCTTGGCCTCCCAAAGTGCTGGGATTACAAGTGTATGAACCACCATGCCCAGCCTTGAGAGCTCTTTGTATATTCTGGATATAAATCTTTTGCCAGATATGTGATTTGCAGACATATTCTGCCATTTTGTGGCCTGACTTTATACAATGTCCTTTTTTTTTTTTTTTTTTTTTTTTTTTTTTTTTTTGAGACACAGTCTCACTCTGTCACCCAGGCTGGAGTGCAGTGGCATGATCTCAGCTCACTAAACTTCTGCCTCCCCGGTTCAAGCAATTCTCCTGCCTCAACCTCCCAAATAACAGGGATTACAGGTGTGTGCCACCATGCCTGGCTAATTTTTATATTTTTAGCAGAGACAGAATTTCACCATACTGGCCGGGCATTCATTGAATGCCCACATCGTGTTGAACTCCTGCCCTCAGGTGACCCACTCACCTCAGCCACCCGAAGTGCTGGGATTATAGGTGTGAGCCACGACGCCCATCCCCGGCCACTCTTAACAGTATCTTTTGAAGAGCAGGTAGTTTTTCATTTTGATGAAGTCCAAATTATTATTATTTTTTATGGTTATATTTTGTTTATATTATTTAGGAATTTTTGCCTTCCTTACGTATTTTCTCATTTTCTTCTAGAATCTTATCATTCTAGATTTTAAGTCTGTGGTCAATTCTGAATTAACTTTTGTATTGGACGGTCAGGTATACGTTGTAGTTCATTTTTCTTTTTTTGGCACATGGCTGTCCATGATGGGGTTCGGTGCTCTGGGAGAAAGGCTACCCTGAAGGACACCTGTCCAGCAGCTGTGATACAGGACACACTTTCCCAAAAGTTTGTAGCAAGCAGGACACAGGCCTCTTTTCCCTGGTGGGATCTCAACCTAGTATAGTAATAATAACACTTATAGGGTTGCTGGGAGGATAGAGTGGGTTATTCTACTCAGAATACTTACCTGTGTCACTATTATTATTAACCTCCAGAAATTAATGGCTCTGAATCTCATCCTTCAGAGACCACTTTACCCCTTCCGCTGGCCTAGCAGGTAGGAGTTTGCATGGATATGCTGCCAAGAGAGCCCCATCTCCCCACCTTATCCCATTCTTGCTTACCCACTGCTTTGTAGTTCTACATCTAAGGCATAGCGCTGTCTTTAAACATTCCTCTCAGAAGAGACCCAGAAGGTAGCAGGTGAAACCCCGGAGGCATTTTTTGTTTTGTTTTGTTTTGAGACAGAGTCTTGCTGTGTCACCCAGGCTGGAGTGCAAAGGTGTGATCTTAGCTCATTGCAACCTCCGCCTCCCGGGTTCAAGCCATTCTGCTGCCTCAGTCTGCTGAGTAGCTGGGACCACAGGCAGGCACCACCACACCCAGCCAATTTTTTGTATAGCCCCGGTGACTCTTAAACACATCTTTGCTTTGCCAAGTTCATGGGGGCCTGCCACAACTCCCTCCTTTTTGTCTTTTTAGCAGTCAGGGATGTGGAATCAAGAGAAGGAAGGGAGCAGCACTCCCACAGAAGGTGTTCACAAGGTCTCTTTACTCCTTTTCCAGATCATCTTACCTTGGTCATCACTGTCAGACAAAGTGCACGAACAGATGCGGGCCTTGGGCACTATTTCCCGGCTGCTGAGGTTTATTTGCAGTTTCCCGGAACTGTCAGTGAGTGCTTGGAGTCGGGGAAAGGCTGACTCAGTAGGCCCTGCTTCTCTGCACATGGGGTACCTGAGAGCCTATGGCTCTGCAGGGGGTTACTGGGAGGTGGGTGGTCAGAGTGTCCCTCTTTTTTTGCATTAGTGACTTTTCTGTTCCTATGGGGTAAGAGGTTTGACTTGTTTGCTTGGTCTGCCCTTGGCCAAGTGAGTTTCAACTGGCTGGACACATCTCAGCCTTGCTGGGGGACCTTGGCCTAAACAGCTGAGTTGGGTCCACAACTTCCCACTGGCTAACATGTTTCGGGGATCTGGCTGCCGCATTTCCCTGGGTGTTGCTTTGAAAGGTTTTTCTTGGCCAGGGAAAGAGTGTGGAGCTGGTGTGGTGAGGGGATACATGCAGGCAAATGATTCAGTGGTGTGGAGGGGTGGGGAGGTTGGAGAGGGTTGGTGGCCACAGTATGGGGAAGCTCCTTTTCGGGTGATGGGGAGTTAACCAGTTTCCTCTTTGGGGCAGCACATGGAGGAATTCTCAATGAGTGGGAAACTGATGAGCATCTTCGGCCTCTTCTGCATGGACTGCAACCACGAGATCAGCAAAGAGGCATCGGAGGCATTGCATTACCTGTTCAAAATCCTTGTGCTTCAGAGAAGTAAGCAACATGAGCCTGGGTAGCCACTGGGCTGCAGCCATGAGAGCCCATGAATAACAGGAGCACATAAGCACTGCTCGTTGAATGCCCACTTTGTGTCAGGCGCACGATGAAGGGCAGCTCCTTCTCACGAGGGCAGAGTGAATATGCTATGATGCCCCAAGATGAGGGATCCTCGTTACAAGTAGATCTGGAAATTTTATCTGGATGAGCTCCAACCCCATTGCTGATGCAATGCCCTCTTGTAAGTGATTCTAAGAGATTCTCAGGGAAAAGGGGAGCTAGGCTTGCAGCCACCTATGGAATCAACTTGGATACTCAATATTTCCCAGTGGTCTCAGCCTTACTGCTAGGCCTAAGACTGGGAAAATGAACATCTTTTCTTAGGGAACAAATTTGGGAGTCCCAGATTGAGCCCCTCTTTGCTCGAGGAAAACAAAAAAATACAAACAGTCACATACACTTCCAGAGGTGTCAGGAGGATTTGCAAATATCCCTACAAGGAGCTTCAGAAACTCTTACTTCTCATGGTTCAACAGGGCATACTTCTTATGAGGGCATTTGCTCAGCACCCGCGGGTAGAACAGTCCACATTCTGGCACAGCGCAGGAAGAGCTGCAAGGACCAGACTGAGTCCCCAGCCACATTCTCCCTCCACCCATTGGCCTGGTGCTGGGGAACTCGTCCCACTCTGTTGAGCAAATGTTATTTCACCCATTTCACTCTGTTGATCTTCTCTGAGGTTTGGAGGGCAAATAAAGAAGGGTGTATTCCTATTTCCCTGTTAAGGCCCTGCCCCTTAATTGTTGTTTTTGGATTGAAGGTGTGAAACAGAAGACAGAGACTATCCTGAAGGATTTGCAGAAGCATTTCCATGGAGCATGGCTTGCCAGCCTGCAGGATCTAACACTGGTAACCATCACTCTCCACAGTGCATGAAATGTCCAGATGGGGAGCCATGACAGGGAATAAGGAGAGCTGGGGTGGGGAGATTGTAGAGGGCCTGGGTGGGGCCACAGAGGAGTAATCCTTCACCCAGAGGAGTGTCTCCAAAGCTCAAGGTCTCATGGATAGCAGGCTGGAGGGGTAAGACCCATTCCCTAGCTGCACTTGAGTTGACTGAGGCTTGAAGTCATTGAGAGAGTTCTTTTTTTTTTTTTTCTTTTTTTAATAGAGTCTTCCTCTGTTGCCCAGACTGGAGTGGTGCGATCTCAGCTTACTGCAACTCTGACTCCTGGGTTCAAGTGATTCTCTAGCCTCAGCCTCCCGAGTAGCTGGGATTACAGGCTCATGCCACCACACCCAGCTAATTTTTGTATTTTTTAGTAGAGATGGGGTTTCACCATGTTGGCCAGGCTGGTCTCGAACTCCTGACTTCAGGTGATCCACCCGCCTTGGCCTCCCAAAGTGCTAGGATTACAGGTGTGAGCCACTGCGCCTGGCCAAAATAGTTCTTTAAAAGAAGTATAGTCAACCCTATTCTCCTCCTACAGATTGTGCCCTTGTACCTTATTTGTAGCCTAGCTCTAATTTTTTTTATTCAGTAAAGATGTATTGGTTGTCTTAGCCAGGCGCTGTGGCTCATGCCTGTAATCTCAGCACTTTGGGAGACTGAGGCAGGTGGATCACAAGGTCAGGAAATCGAGACTATCCTGGCTAACACGGTGAAACCCCGTCTCCACTAAAAATACAAAAAAAATTAGCTGAATGGGGTGGCGGGCACCTGTAGTCCCAGCTACTCGGGAGACTGAGGCAGGAGAATGGCGTGAACTCAGGAGGCAGAGCTTGCAGTGAGCCGAGATCGCGCCACTGCACTCCAGCCTGGGTGACAGAGCGAGACTCCATCTCAAAAAAAAAAAAAGATGTATTGGTTGTCTTAGATACGGTGTCTCCAGGCTCAATCAACTGAAATCACTCCAGTCAGAAATCCAGGAGTCATCCCTTGCTCTTTCCTCTCCCTCACTCTCCACATCCAATTCAACACCAGGTTTGTTCATTCTGCCTCCTGGATAGCTCTTGAATTTGTCCACTCTGCTCCAGCCCCACTGTGGGGCCCCCAGAATCTCTTGCCTGGGTCACTCCAGCAGTCCCTTACTGATCATCCTGTTTCCAACTATGCTTCTTGTCACATCACTTTCTATGCTATAGTCAGAGAACTGCATTTCTAAAATGCAATTGCTGAGATGAATTATTCCCCTTCAGACTTTGCACTGACTCTCCACTGTCCTCATTCTAAAGTCCAAACTTGTTCACTTGACCCACAAGACCCTTCATGATCTGGTTGCTGCTGTAACCGTCCTGCCTCATCTTGTCTCAGTCTCCCTTTTCCACCTGGCCCAGGTCTCCCTTGCAGGACACAGTAGTTAGGCTGAACTTCCTTCCACTCCAGGCCTTTGCATATTCTGTTCTCTCTGCCTGGAACTCTGTCCTTTTTCCTTGGGTCTGAATCATGGCGGTAGGGGAAACAAACACATCCTTCTTCACCTGGCAGTAGGAAGGAGAAGTGCTGAGCAAAGGAGAAATAGCCCCTTATGAAACCATCAGATCTTGTGAGATCTCACTCACTATCACAAGAACAGCATGAGGGTAACCACCCTGACACATGGGGATTATGGGAACTATAGTTCAAGATGAGATTTGGGTGGGAATACAACCAAACTGTATCACTCACATTGCACTATAACTGCCTGTTTACTTGCCCTGACTTGATGGTAAATTCCTTGAGGGTAAAGGCATTGTATGTTTTAGTTGCAGTTTTCCTGAGCTCCCAGCAATAGGACCAGGCACAGAGCTGAGCCTCAATGTTGTTTGAGTGAATGAGCTTCACGTGGATATGCAGGTGCAGGCTCAGAGATAGGAGAGATGTCTGCTGTACATAATAGCAGTCCTACTTGCTTTGGAATGCTGCAAGCTCACTAAACATCAGAACTCATTTCCAACGGACTCATTTGCTTGCATTCCAAATAGAAGTAGAAATGCCTTTTGCATTGTCCTCTGTGTCAAGTTGTCTGGACCATTGCTCCTTCCTGGAGATTTCAGAGCTGGTGGCACTCTGAAACTTGTTTCACACCATAGAATAGCCAGATGCTGGTCAGGGACTGCCTCCACTGGCCCCTGGTTGATTGGTCTCTTTGGAGGCCAGAGGCTTTGGGGCAGACCCAAGTTGGGATGCTGGCATCGTGGAGACAGCTGTTCTTCTTTCTTCAGTTCTTCAAGAAATACCTGACCCCTGAGGAGAGAGCAGATATGATCATGGTGAGCATGGAGGCCATGACCAACACCAGCAGGCATGACATCTCTGCAGCTTCCAAGATGTTAAAGATGATCCTGAAGTACACGATTCCAGAGATCGGGAAGGTAGCAGCTCTGGGGGACCTAATGGTTCAAGGTCAATTTAAGGATTCTTTCTTTCTGTTCTGTTTTGGGTCTTGTTGTATCTCCTACCGGTTTGAGTTTAAAGAATCACATGCTTCAACCCATGGGATAAAAGGCTAAATGAGGAATAGTTCGTGATTGTGGAAAAGACTCTTCTTTGGGAAGTGTTGACCATCTGGCCTCTATCTCCAACAGGATGGAAAGAATTGAGTCAAAGCTATAGCAGACTACTAGGGGCTGCTAGGACCAGGAGAGACCTCAGTCTTTCTTCCTGCTTCCAGACAGTATTTGATATGTTAGATCTATAGGTGCCTTCTTCTTTCTTCAGGAGGGATAATTCAGGGGCGTGTGTGTGTATATAAATATATACATATATATATATACACACACATCCACAAACTTATGACACACTAACATAAATAGAGATGAAATACAGAGACTCCTTTATGAGAGCTGCGACTAGTTCTCAGTAAAATTAAGACAGCATAGGGCTGGGCACAGTGGCTTACAGCTGTAATCCTAGCACTTTGGGAGGCCGAGGTGGGAGGATCACTTGAGCCTAGGAGTTTGAAACCAGCCTGGGCAACATGGCAAGACCCCATCTCTTAAAAACATTAATAAAAAAATTAAGACAGCACATTTTAGCTGTCCTTTTTATTATAGTATTTTAAAAGATCTTATGGACTGATGGAGGCCCTCTTATTTTAAGGGCCTAACCCACTTCTCTAACTCACTTATGACCTCTCCACAGTAGGTTCTATGAGCAGTTCCGGGATCTTACACTTTCCACTTCTCTGGCCTGGATTGCCTTTTGATTGAATGCCTCAGAACAGACCGCTGATAAGTTGAAGGGGACCCCAAAGATCAACTACTCTAACTCCCCACTTGATGCTTGTAATCTCTTTTGGAGGTTTTAAATCTATTTTGTATGGAATGCTTCACAAATTTACATGTCATCCTTGTGCAGGGGCCATGCTAATCTTCTCTGTATTATTCCAATTTTCGTATCTGTGAAGCAAGCACAATGCTTGTAATCTCTTTGAGAGCACCCCAGACCACTGGACAGCCAGATGGTGCTGAAAGCAATCTTGAGGCGCTCACTACCTTAAACCATAGCTCATTTGTATTTGTAAACTACTTTCTTTTAAAAAATTTTAATTTACAAAAAGGATATATATTTATGGCATACAACATGATATTTTGAAATATGTATGCATTGTGGAATGGTTAAACCAAGCTAATTAACATATCAATTAACTCACATACTTTTTTTTTTTTGGTAGTGAGAACGTTGAAAACCTACTGTCTTAGCAAATTTCAAGTATAGAATAGTCATCGTGTTGTACAATAGATCTGAACTTGTTTCTCCTGTTTAAATGAAATTTTGTATCCTTTGACCAGTATCTCCCCAGTCCTCCTCACCCCCAGCCCCTGGTAACCACTGTTCTACTCTCTGCTTCCATGAGTTTGACTTTCTTAGATTCCATATCTAAGTGAGATCACCCAATATTTGTTTTGCTATACCTGGCTTGTTTTGTTTTTCATAATGTCCTCCAGGTTCACGTATATTGTTACAAATGACAGGGTTTCCTTCATTTTTAAGGGTGAATAGCATTCCATTGTGTATATGCCACATTTTCTTTATACATTTATCTGTCGTTGGAAGCTTAGGTTCTTTCCCTATCATGGCTATTACAAAAGATTCTGCAGTGAACAGGGGAGTGCAGTTATCTCTTCCAGACACTGGTTTCATTTTCTTTGACTGTATACCCATAAGTGGTATTGGTAGTTTTACTTTTAGTTTTTTGAGTAACCTCCATCATGTTGGAATTTTCCATAATGGTTGTGCTCTTTATAAATGAGAAGGCCAGGTGCAGTGACTCACACCTGTAATCCCAGCACTTTGGGAGGCCCAGGAATGAGGACCTCTTGAGTTTAGGAGTTCAAGACCAGCCTGGGCAATATAGTGAGACCTCATTTCTACTAAAAATCAAAAGCGTTAGTTGTGCATGGTGGTGCCCACTTGAGTCCCACTAGGGAGGTTGGGTTGAGAGGATCTCTTGAACCCAGGGGATGGAGGCTGCAGGGAGTTATAATTGCGTGACTGCACCCCAGCTGGGACAACAGAGCTAGACCCTGTCTCAAAAGAAAAACAAAATGAGAAAAGGCTCAAAGAGGCTATGAGCCTTAATTACTGAAGTTTCGTCACCAGTTATTAGGTGACAGACACTGTTCCAACCAATTCAGATGCATTAACTCAGAACTGTTGACATGGGTAAAATCATCCTCATATTTTGTGTGAGGAAATAGAGCGCAGAGAGGATGAAAAGCTTTCCCAAGGTCACACGGTTAGTAAGTGAGGAGGTGAAATTCACATCCAGAGAGTGTGACTTTAGAGTTCATGCGGACCACCACCTACTGCCTCCACCCTGCATGGCCAGTAAACAGCAAGGACTGACTCTTCCCTCCCTCCCTTATAGTCTTGAGGCCACTTGGAGGCAGCAATCCTATGCCCTCTGCCTTCCTGTCTCTAAGTTACTCATCCTCAGATTCTTCCTTCATTCTTCATGACATGATTTCCAGACATAGTTCTAGTCTCCCCTGGCTGCTCTCTATTTTGTCCCTCTTAAAATATCGGGGTTGTTCCGTGGTGGGCAGGTGTGTATAAAGCTACCCTTAAAATCCAAGGAAGCTGAGAGGTCAAAGAAAGAGGTTGATGAATCCAGTTTCTGAGAAAGAAACATTTAATACTGACTTAAAAACAAGCCATACTGGGCGCAGTGGCTTACGCCTGTAATTCCAGCATTTTGGGGGGCCGAGGTGAGCGGATCACTTGAGGCCAGGAACTCAAGACCAGCCTGGCCAACATGGTGAAACCCTGTCTTTACTAAAAATACCAAAAAAAAAAAAATTATCCGAGCGTGGTGATGTGCAGCAGTAATCCCAGCTACTCTGGAGGTGAAGGCAGGAGAATCACTTGAACCAGGGAGGTGGAGATTTCTGTGAGCCCAG